CCCCAAAACCCCAAAACCCCAAAACCCCAAAACCCCAAAACCCCTGGGCGAGGTTGGAGACTTGAATTAAGAAGAGTTATTATGTTAACGGAGTACAACTTAAGGAATATCTCTAAATCATTAAGTTCAATTGCAGAAGCCAAAGCTGCTGCATCAAAGAAACTTCACTTTCAAGGAGATACTCCTTGAGCAGACGTTTAGCTCCACTCAACAGAATCTGCTTATGAGGGGCCTTTCTTCGATTTATTTATTGATTTAGACAATGAAGTCTGGAAGTTTCTATAACTATCAGTGACATCTTTGATGAATTGGATTGAAAGTTTCCAAGATTCAGAGTCTGTTTGTTGCCCAAGCTCCACAATTTCATCCTTGTGGGAATACACTTTCTGTATCTCACTTCCAATCTTTTGAATAAAATGATTAACTGCTAATTCTGCTTGCCTTCATTTTTGTGATCTATCAACTGATTTATCGAATCCTTTAGAATGATGGTGAGGGCTATCTTTTGGGGAACTCATGACTTCAGCTGAAGTTGAACTTTTCAAATCCGATGTACTAACGCTGCTGCTTTTCATTAGCCTCTCAGAATTAATCTTCTCGATAGTGGACTTGACAATACTAGCTATGGATTCCTCAATTTTGTCATAGTCATGTTCTGTGATTCCGAAATCGGCTTGCTTAAGCTCTTGACAAATTTTTCCAGGAGTATCTTCTTCAAGGTTATAGTCAAATCCAATCTCTCTATCTGGGGAAAAGATTATGCCAAACTTGAGGATCTTCCTGTCAGGGGATACGTTTCTGAGCTTTCACATAATCCCTTCAACAGGTCTCTTTTTCTCTTCAGATGACTTATGTAGAGGTTCTGGACTTCCCAACGAGTATGCTGTGTTACTAGTAGTGGTCTGGTTCTAGAGTAGTGATTAAAACAAGATATATTAAGCAAACGATCGGATCGAAATTACCTGTTGTTCCTTATAACCGTCCTTCTTTGCCATAATTTCAACCCTACCTTGCCTAAAGAAGGAGTTATTTACCTTTAAACAAGCTGCTACTTACTTCATGAAATGTTCATCTTGAAGCGGGTACCCTTGAGTTTGATTAAAAGTCTCCTTTCTTTCAAAACTAGTGTTAACTCTTTCTACTTCTTCTCCAGAATGAGTTGATTGATGTGGGAGTCTATAAACACTCAGTAAATGCACGGAGATTTATAGTGGATAAAATTGAGATCTAGCTAGCATAATTTGGGAAATTAAAAACACAGCTTTTACTAATAATTTGACTAAAGATTAGAAGGTTCTATTTTGAATATCTTACTAATTTTTACATTAACACAAAATTATTTACCAATAGGACAAATTGCTAGGAGAGAGCATTACCTTGTGAATTGCTTCGTACTGTTAATGTTGTCAGACGATTTGTTGAGATGGTTCTCGCTTAGCTCTTGGTCTCTCTGGATGATTACTGAATGTGCATCATCTTGGGAATTCTTCAACTCTGGTGGGAGATGAGGTTCAGTTAAATTCACGGAGTCAACATCAATTTTTAACTTTAAGTGCTTCTCGTTTTCAATCTGATTAAACAAGTTAAGTGATTCTTCCTGATTTTGGATAGTCTGTTGTCTTCTAGATTGGTTCTTCATTGTTCCTTGCTTCATAGCTTTGCTAGGTCTCTGAGGGAGAGGAGAACCAAATCCATCATTGGTATTCGGGTTCAGATGTGAATGCCCCATGTTATTTCTTTTTCCTTCTTCTTTTTGTAATTTCTTAGCTTTAAGCTCCTTCTTTGTTTTCAATTTGACTGGAAAATTATTAACATCTGATTCAAGGTCTTTAAGAAACTTGCATTCTAATAGGTCTCTTGCAGTTGGCCTGACATCTCTGTACTCAATACAGCTGACTATGAAATCGGCTACTTCAGGGTCATCAATTCTATCAAATGCTTGTGGCTTAACACCTTGGATAACCTTCTTATAAATCTGGGCTGGGTTGTCTCACTCCTTATATGGAGTACTGAGAGTGCACATTTCTAAAAAGCACATTCCGAAGGCATAGATATCAACTGAGACACCATATTTCTCCTCGTATAATTCTGGAGCCATGAACTCTGGAGTACCAAGTACAGAAGTAGTATAGGAATGGTTTAATGATGTAGACAAACCAAGATCTCCAATCCTAATTTCTCCTTTATTACTATTGATAAAGATGTTGTCACATTTTATATCTCTGTGAATAATTGGAGGTTGGAGTTCATGGAGGAATGTTAAGCCGTTCAAGATCTGAATTGCCCATTTATTTTAAAACTTTTAACCTTGGACGTTTGATTTTCTTAAGGTACTGCCTCAATGATCCTGCTGTGACCATTTCTGTGATGAAAACTACTTCTTCCTTAGCCTTGTTAATCCAAGCAGAAATGAAGTGAATAATATTAGGATGTTCTTCCAAGTGCTTGAGCGTATGAATCTCCTCAGAAATCCTTTTCCTATCAATCTTTGGCAGTCTGTTAATTTTGATGACATTCCAAGCTATCTCCCTACCTGAGTCTTCATCAATTCCTCTATACACAGACTTGTAAGCTCCACATCCAAGCTCTTCAGAAAATCTGCCAAATCTTCCAAGAGGGCTCTTTTCCACAATATTAAAGGCATCATCTTCTGCTTGGGATACTTCTTCTTCTTCCTCCTCTTCTTCATCTTCAGAGAAGCATTCTGAGCTAGAACTATTTTGAGTTTTGTATTTTTCTTTCTCTGCATCTTCCAGGTACTGCTTGCTCCTCGTAGACGACTTTAGGTTTACTTCAGCTGCAGGAGTAGCCACCATATTGGCAGGACTTGGTAAATCAGGACTGATGTCCTTTTTGGAAGCGGGTGATTTGTAGTCTTTGGTATCGTCACTGTCTTGGCCTTCATCTTCGCCATGATATTCGTCATCCTGGACTTCCTGGTATTCTCCCTTAGCCTCATGATCATCAGTTTTGCTCTGATCTGCTTGGCCTGAATGAAAATTGATATGATTCTCCATTTTGTGCCAATTTTGTAAAAATACTATTATTTCAATTGGGTTTTAGACCTAAGGGGTTTTGGGGTTTTGGGGTTTTGGGGTTTTGGGGTTTTGGGG